ATATATATATATATATGTAAATCAAGATTAGAAGTATCAGACATTATGGGCATGAAAATACAAGAAATAGGTTCCTGAATAAAGTATGAAATGGGTCCCATCTGCATGGTTACAATGTCGTGGAAAGGGCTGAATAGGGTATTGTTGTGTTTTCCTTAAAATACATATTTCAAGAAAATGAATGCTAAATCAAACACAGATTGTCTCTTACCTGACAGTCTGTTGTACAACATTCTCCAGAGCCACACACTACACTGCCTTTCTTCCTACATGACGTAGGGTCACAGCACTTTGTATGCGTACAGTTCTACGAGGAAAAGCTAAATGTTAACTAATGATAGGGATTGAGTACCATCAAAGAAGTGTACAGTGCATGACTTTACGAAGTAGGCACAGCATTCAGAGCTGAAGTAGCCCCATTATTTTTATACTGTACAGTGCTTGATTTACAGAAGTCCACATCTCATTTTGTACTGCAGAGAAGAAATATGTTTCTCTACATCCAATACAATATAAACAGTAATACTACACTGAAGAACCTAGAGGAAATTAGATACTTTATTAAATACATTATCTTTAAACATTTCTAAATTTTATAGTATTTATATTCGCATTTTATTTAACAAATATTATCAACCATATCTATTTACATATAAATCCCAACTTTAAAACACTTTAGTAATTGCCCATAAATTTCCAAATGTTTACTACACCTACTTCTGTTCTCAATGCCTCCACTTCACCGTGTTGGAAGAGATCAAAAACTAGATTCAAGAGGTGACCACTAGCCATGTGTAGCTACTTAAATACAAATGAACTAAAATTTAATTGCTTGGTCACATGAGAAACATTCCAAGTGTCCACTAGCCACATGTGACTCGGGGGATCAGGCACTGGGCAGCTCCAAACAGCACCATTGTGAAAAAAATTCTATTGTCAAGCACTGCATACACTACAGAATTTATGAAAAAATGTGCACTTTTTTGAACTATTTTAATTTATATATTGGAACTGTTATATTACTTCTGTCATTTATTTTACCATAGTGAATAGGAGTGATTTATTGTCAAATATTAAGTCACGCTTACATTCACAGAATAAGCCCAGATTTATCCTGCTAATATCCCATAAGGATTTCTGCACCTAGGTTCAGGAATACATCTGGCCTGTAGTGTTCCTGTCTTACAATGATCATCTCAAGATTTCTGTACATCAGGTTTATAGCAACTTCACAAAATGAGTAAAGAATTGTTTTTGAGGGCCGGGGATTTAGCTCAGCGGTTCGGTGGCCTGCCTTGCAAGAGCAAGGACCCAAGTTCAATCCCTGGTACCAAAAAAAAAAAAAAGAATTGTTTTTGCGAAAAAGTGGTTCATTACCTTTGATCTAACTTTCATTGTAATTTTCTTGCCCGTGGGTAATTTAGAAATGACTTTTTTACTTTGTAGATATTGGGCATAGTCTAGCTATTTTGTTTCAAATATTCAAATATTTGGATGACTTTTAATTTAGAATTGCCATATGTCTTAGTGTTCTGGAACTGGCCTGTTCTAGCTTGCAAGGGCCGATTTTTAAATTTTCATGGATTTTGTAGGCTAGTTTCTAACAAAACATTATTAAAAACTGTATTGCCTTTTCATTCATTTTGTTATTTATATTTTTAAGTAGTAAATATTTAAAACTCACTTCCTTTTTTACTTAATATTATTTATCTTTCTGATTTAAAGTTTTTAATTTTTTCATTGTTTTGAGACAGGATCTCTCTCTGTAGTTGGGGTGGCCTTGAACTCACTATGTGGACCAAACTGCCCTCAAACGCAAGGTTATCCTCCCACCTCAGCTTCCCAAACGCTAGGATTACAGGTGTGTGCTGCCACGTCTGGCTCAGATGACATTTTGCCATCTTTACCCGTTACGCTCCCTTACAGTGTCCCATGCCCTTCTCATGGTCCTGAACTCTTCCTGTCCAGCGATGGTATTCCATTCCTTCTAATTCCTTCATTTATATTTGTTTTTGTTTTTTTCTTTTCTTTTCAGATTGCTCTACTAGGGAGAAAGTGACTTTTAATTCTGCCTTGTTTTGCTTAACATTTTCCAGTTCAATTCATTTTCCTGCAAATCATATAATTTCTTCTTCCGGCTAATATCAAACTTTGTCTGTTCATCTGTGGATGGACACTGAGGCTGATCCCATGTGTTGGCTAGCTACTGTGAATGGTACTGCAGTAAATGTAGTCTCTCGTAGTATGCTGACTCTAAGTCCATCAGATACATACCAAGGAGTGGGGCAGTAAGGACATATGGTCATCCCACTTTTAGTGTTTTGAAGAAAAGAATACATTGCATTGACTTTTTGGCTTTTCTTCTTTTTTGGGTAACGTTATTTTACTGGGACATTTTACACATAGATAATGATCACATTCATTACTGGGAATTTGTACCTGTGCAATCTATCTTGCTGCTTCTTTTTTCCCCTTCCCCTCTGTTCCCTCCTACTCCTCATCCCCTCCTTATTTAGAAAAGCTTGCGGCCATTCTTTCCTTCTATTCTCTTTTTTTTTTTTCTCTGTGCTTTTTCCTCTTCCCCATTCTTGTTACCCCTCCATTTGCATTGACTGAGGCAGAACTTTCCCAAATAAAAAGTCTTTTTCAAATACATTTCACTGAAAGACAATGTTGGTTACCTTTTTTCTTACTATTTTATATGCATATAAGAAATGGAGAAAGAATTTCTACTAACAAGTTTAGTGCCACAGTCACATTCTTCACCCTCTTCCCTTACTGAGTTGCCACATATTCTCTTTCGAGATGACTGCTTATAAACCGGCTTATCATGTGGGTTGTTCTTGAGACAGTCAAGGCCAGAACGTGATGCAAGTGATTTAAAGCTATCCAGGCTGCAAGTGCTAAAATGCGTTAAAACCCCAGAGTACCTAAAATATAAAAATAAAAATATGGTCATGACAAAAATTAATGATTTGCATCTCTACATAACTCTTAAGATATTTTGAAGAAAGTTTTCAGAAACATCCTACATGGAAAATAATAAGAACACTTTTAGAAATATTGATTAAATTGATATATTGTAACATACTTTTGTAATCCCACTAAGAAAAAGTTAAAAATAATATATTCCCAAAAGTTCCACTCATACATCATGTTTACACAAAACAAAGTCCAGATGATTCCTTAATATCTTCAAAGAGCCTTTCCGAAGCCCCCTGTACCCCACATCTCAGAAGTAATAATGCATAGATGCTCAAGTCCTTATAATTTACACATTCAAATGACACCTCCACACCTATATTTGTTACAGCACTATTCACAATTGTCAAGATACGGACTCAAGAGCCAGTGCAGACATCTGCCCAAACTATGTGCCAATCCCGGAGGACTTGGGAAGTACATGCCCTGCCCCCAAGCAATGCTGACACCACGCAGGACCTGTGCCAAGAGAGGAGGACCCAGAACTGGACATCCCATACCCTGGGTTCTCCACATCACAGGACAGCAGAAGTAACAACCGCCATATTAAACGAATCAAGAAGATACTGACACACAAGAGGAGATTTTCACTTCAGCACTGAAGCGATACCGAACCACAGTGACAGACAGCAAGAAACAGCCTGGGGAGACAGGCTTGGAGAGGGTGACAGTTTTTCAGGTGGTTGAAGAAAACAACTTCTAACCAAGACTGTATTATCCTGCAAAATTATCTTTCAAAAAAATTGATAGAGAAATAAGATATTTCCATAATAAAAAATTCATGACCACCAAACCAGCACTTCAGAAAATTCTCAAGGATATCCTAGAAGGAGACAGTGAAGCTAATGATGCCAAAGGGTCCACTTAAACAAATACATCGGGTAGGATTCGCAATTCAGCAGAAGAGAAAGAAAGCAAGACAATGACAGATTAATATGGTGACAGGAATAAGTCAATTATCAATTATATTACTTATCAATTGTAACTATCAATGTAAATGGACACAACTTGTCAATCAAATGACTGGATTAGCACAATGGATCAAGAAGCAAAATCCAACTGGATGCTGTATACAGAAACACATTTAATGTAAAAAGAAAGTCATAAAAATTTCATGGAAAATAATATTTCATGCAACAGAAGCTCACAAACAAGCAGGAGTAAGGCCGGGAATTTAGCTCAGTGGTTTTGCCAGCTGCCTTGCAAGTGCAAGGACCCAAGTTGGATCCTGGTACCAAAAAAAAAAAAAAAAAAAGCATGAGTAGCTTTCCTATTTTCAGAAGAAGTGGATTTCAAACCAAAGCTGATCAAAGAGGCACAGAAAAACATTACATATTGGTTAATGGAACCACTCAACAAGACGTGATAAAAATTATAAACATATGCACCAAACCACTGTGCACCCCACTTCATAAAACAAACTCTGATAGACATAAAAGATCAGATAAACATCAGTAAAATTATATTGGGATATCTCTATACCTCACTATCTCAAATAGATTGACTACACAAAAAAAAATCAACTTTTGAACAAATGGACTTGAAACATCTATTGGGTGTTCCACCCACTAGCAGTACAATGCATATTCATTTTGACCATGTATTAGCTTATAAAGCATGCCAAAGCAAAAGTAAATGAAGTAAAATTTTACCATGCATATAAGCAAATCACAGTAAAATGAAATTCAAAATTAATGACAGAAAACTCTACAGAAACTAAACATATAGAAGTTAAAAAACACACCCCTAAAAAATCAATATGTTACAGGAAATTAAGTAAGAAATAGGACAGTTCCACCCTCAGTGGAGGAAAGATAGCCTCTTTAATAAATGGTGTTGGAAAAACTGAACCTGCCAAAGATTAAGACTAGACCCTTATCTTTCACCATGCACTAAACTAAAATTCAAGAGGATTAAAGATCTAAATATTTAAAAAGTCACTAAACTTGCTGGCAGATAAGTTAGGCAGAACTCTTAAAGACATTGGCATAAGGAAAGATTTTATGAACAAATCCGCAGTAGCACAGAAACTAGCAGAAAGAATCAACAACTGGGATCTCATGTTATTAAGCTTCTGCACTGAAAAAGAAATCATTAGCAGAACTAAGAGACGACCTACCACCTGGGAAAAAATGTTTACCAGCTTCTCAGACAAAGGACTATTATCTAGAACATGTAAAAATCTTTAAAAAAAAAGCCCCCCCAAATATAAAGACCCAATTCAAAAATGGTATCTGAAATGAACAAACATTTCTCAGACAAAAAAGTAAAAGCATCAAATAAATATATGAAAAAAATGTTCCACCTCACTGGTCATTCAAGAGATGCAGATGAAAACAACACAGATTCCACCTCACCCCAGAAAGAATGGCTGCTATCAAGAAATCAACCAAAGGAAATAAGGGAAAAGAAAAATTATGAAAAAATGGAAATACTGTTTTTGTAAATAGGGAAGGAAGGAGGGGGTGAAGGGAGGGCAGGTGTATGGGGAAAAAATGAGAACCAAGACCTGTGATGTAAAATTACAAGCTCCCAATGATGAATGTAACTGTAGTGTCTACCTAAAGGGTACCAATAAATTCAATGAGGAAAAAAATAATAGGACAGTTCCTCCAATTAAGTGATGTCAGTGTAACATTTCTAGAATTTATGGGATACAGTGAAATTAATCCCATGAGGGAAGATTATAGCTGTGAATTCCAACATCAGAAAAGTAGAATGAGCCCAAACAAACAACCTAGTGATACATCCCAAGATCTTAGAACAGCAAGAATAACCCAATCCCAGAGCTTGTATAGGGAAGGAAATTATAAAGGGTGAGCAGAAATTAATGAAGTAGAGAATAAAAAACAATACAAACAACCAGAGTTGGTTCTTTGAAAGAATAAACAAAACCTATAGACCCTTAGCCAATCTTACCAAAAACGTAAAGAAAAGACAAATTAATGCAGTCAGAAATGAAAAAGGTGAAATCACAGTGGACAGTGGAAATCCACAGAATTAATAGCTGTTACTTCACAAATAAATATGCCAAACAACTGGAGAACTCAGAACAGAGAGATCCTAGTTACATAGGAATTCCCAAATCTGAACTAAGGAGATTTAAAAACCTTGAAAATTCCAGTAAAAGATAATAAAATTGAAGCGTGAATAATAATTTTTTTAAAAACTACCGACTAAGAAAAGATGAGGTCCTCGTGGATTCTCAGCCAACTTCTACAAGAACTTCAGGGAAGATCTAATACCAATACTCCTCTTACTTTCTGATGAAATTGAGAGGGAAGGAATACTTCCTAAATCATTCTCAGAAGCTAACGTTATCCTGATCTAATAAAACAGGCAAGGATCCAACCAAAAAAAAGAGAACTACATGTCAATTTCTGTATCATAGATGCAAAATCCTCAATAAAATACTGGAAACAATGCAACAAATCACCAAAAAGAACATACACCACGACCAAGTAGGCTTCACCCTGGAAATGCAAGAATGGTTCAACATATGTAAATCAATGAATGGAATTCAGTACCTAAATGGAAGCAATGACAAAAATCATTTGATTATCCCAATACAGTATTTCTCTGAAAATAAGTCCTAATTGAAAAATAAGCTCAAGCATGACTTTTGGGCTGCTCATAACATAGGCCCTATCCCAAAAATGAGTCTCAGTTAAGATTGTCAGCCAGATGTAAACAGTACATCCACTGTAGCACATGATGGACATTTGAATTATAAAATAGTAACATGACTATATATTTAAATAGAAATAATATTTTCATTAATACTTAAATGATAATAAACTATAATTATTTGTAAAAAGGCACCTTTGGATGAGAGGTAAAATGCCTACATAAGCAAATGAACTTGATACTTATTATGAAATGACCAGTAAGAGTACAGACACACATGAATAATATGCACATGTGACAAAGAATGGACAAGGTTCTGTCTCCTCTGGATCTTCATAATCTAATATGTATAGTAACAGACATATAATGCACTCCTGTGGAATCAAGAAATGTTTTCTGAATGTTAGTGCATGTAATTTTTTATCATTTTTATAAGAGCATTTTTTTTTTTTTTTAGGTACATGGGATCAAACTCAGGACCTTGCTCTTGTGAGGCAGGCACAGTGCCACTGAGCTACATCCCCAGCCTGAGACCATCGTTCTGAACCATCATCACTTCTGTCATGTAAGTCTTCAATTAACACTTGATTTAATGGAAACTTGGTGAAGCTTAGCCCACAAGGGGTCATGACTTGGGTGAAGAGTTCATGGGATAAAATCACTGACAGATGTGTTGCTAATGTACTACAAGCAGGCGGCATGGGATGTTCATTTAAGGAGACCTCTGTTGCTCTACATGAGGGATTGAGGCCAATAGTTCTACAGGAAATACTCACAAGAAAGTTAATCTGGAATTCTGGGTGTAGAGAGTTATGGCAACGTTCCAGAACAAGATGACATGATTGTATTTGAATAAATGTAGATTTTTGTACATGAATATAGACTGTTGTACATGAAAGACCCGGTATTATTTTCAGAGAAATATGTTAGGTGCAGAAAAAGTCTTTTCTTTTTTTGACAAATTACAACATCCATTTACAATACAAATCCTGAAGAAAGTAGTTATAGAATATTTTTATCTCAACATGATAAAACCCACTTATGACCAATCTACTGCTAACATCATATTAAACACAGAAAAATTGAAAGCCTTCCCTCTAAAATCAAGGACAAGACAAAGAGGTCCATTATCACCACTTGTGTTCAACAGTTCTTGACACACTAGCCAAAGCAATCATGCAATAGAAAGAAATAAAAGGGATATATAAAGGATGAAGTCAAGGCCAGGCGTGGTGGCACATGCCTGTAATCCCAGTACTCAGGAGGCTGAGGCAGGAGGATCTCTGTGAGTTCGAGATCAGCCTGGGTTACATAGTGAGTTCCAGGTCAGCTTCAACTACATAGTGAGACCCTGTCTCAAAAAAATAAAAATAAAAGATAAAGTCAAAATATCATTTGTAGATGACATGAGCTCTTATTTATAAGACCCCAAAACTCTACCAAAAGACTCCTAGAATTTATAACAAAATTCAGCAGTGTAGGAGGATGCAAAATAAGCCTTTCTATAATCAATAGCCTTTCTATACACTAATAATGAACTTGCTGAAAAATTAAGAAAACAATACCATTTACTGTAGCATTAAACAAATTAAATACTTAGGTATTAACCTAACTAAGGAAATGAAAGACTTCTACCATGAAAATTTACATCAAACTGAGAAAGGAAATTAAGGAGGACATCAGAAAATGGAAAGATATCCCATCTTCCTGGGTAGGCATAGCACGATCGAAATGTCTATGCAGATATTCCTCATTTAATGACTTGCCTGTTTGATGACTGTTTGGACTTACAACCTACCACCCATCTTTGTTTGGTACAGTTCTAAAAATCTTTTTTGTACAGTATACTTTGTTCATATAGTATTGTAATTTTTGCTGATTTTACTTTCAGTACAGTACTGTAGTTTTATATTCTGTGATACATTACAGAACTGCATATAATGGTTATGCAAATAAAAGCAAAGTTATTAAGTTGGCATTTCCTTTGACCATTTCTTTGTCCTGAATATTATAATGTACATACTATATACAGTTCCTCACTTAGCAACCAATTAATTCAATAACCTAGTCACAGGACTGAAACTTTGTCATTAAACGAGGAATGTCTGTACTTCCAAAACTGATATACAAATTTAATGTAATCCCAATCAAAATACTAAGATCATTTTCCTCAGAACTAGAGAAAACTATCCTAAAATTTATATGGAATCAGAACAGTACCAGAGCAACAAAAGCAATCCTGAGTAATAAAAGCAAACCAGGTAGCATCACAATCCCAGACTTGTTATACTATAAAACTGTAGTAATTAAAACAGCATGATACTGGCACAAAAACAGTCATACAGATAAATGAAACAGAAGAACCCAAACCACCCCAGCCGCACACTATTAGATCTTTGACAAAGGAGTCAAAAACATACAGTAGGAGAAAGATGACCTCTTTAATAAATTGGGCTGGGAAAATTGAATATCCACATGCTGAAAATTGAGTCTAGGCTCATATATCTCACCGTGTACTAAACTAAAGTCAAAATGGGTCAAAGATCTGAACATTAGAACAGAAACAATTACCAGAAGATAAAGCAAGTACAACTCTTGAAGACAAGCACAGGTAAGGACTTTCTGAACAGAACCCCAATGGCACAAGAAATAATACCAAGATTCATTAAATGGCGTCATATCAAATTAAAAAGCTGCTTCTGCACAGCAAAAGAAACAACCAACGAAGTGAAGAAACAGTCTCTAAAATGGAAAAAAATTTGGCCAGCGATTCCATGGATGGGACTAACACCGAGAATATGCGAAGAAATAAAAAATAAAAGACTCAATCAAAAAATGGGCAACTAGGGCCAGGGATTAGCTCTGGTGCTGCCACCTGCCTTGCAAGCACAAGGTCCTGAGTTCAATCCCTGGCACCAAAAAAAGGGGGCAAGCAACTAAAATGAATAGACATTTCTCAAAAGAAGTACAAATGGCCAATAAATACATGAAAAAATATTTATCTGGGCTGGACATTTGAGAGATTCAAATTAAAACTACACGGAGATACCATATTATACCAGAAAGAATGGCTATCATTTAAAAAAATCTAATAATAACAAAAGTTGGCAAGGATGTGGGGAAAAAACTCTTCTACATGCTGGAGGGAGTGTAAACCAGTAGAACCACTATGGAAATCAGTGTGGAGATTCCTCAAAAAATTAAAAATAGAAAGTTCTTTTGATCTAGCTATCCCCCTTCCTGGTACTTCCCCAAAATAACCATTATATTGCAGACGTACATGCATAGCCATGTTTACAGCAGCACAGTACATAACAGCTAGATCTTGGAAACAGCATGTGTGTCCATCAACAGATGAATGAATAAGGGGAATGCATTTACACCAATGGAGTAGTGAGGGAAGAGGTAGGGAAGATGCTATAAAGAAGGATAAACTTGAGACATTCATGGGTAAATAGAATCAACTTCAGAACAATGTAAAGTGCAATAGGTCAGACAAACTGAAATATTCCCTGGTCCTTCTTATACGGGAAACACAAAAGATATATAAATAAACACATAAAGAGCAACATAAAAGAGAGAGGTGTAGAAAATAAGGAGTTCAAATACTTCCCCAAATTTCATATTTCATTGTTTTTAAATATTTTAATATCTATTATCATTTACACTACTAGTTTATCTTAGATTGTTGAAAAGAAAGTTTCATGTTACTGTTTATTTTTATAAAAATAGTTTTGGTTTAAGTCTTGTACTCTGAGTAACCACTTTGAAGATAATGATACAGAGTGTATTAACTATTATTATTCTCTGACTTGGCTATGAAATTTTACTTTTTCATAAAATAAAACAAATGTGAAGGTTAGCAGCCTAGTAACCTTAGGCAATTATTTTTAAAAAGATATCAAATCGGACCAGGGATTTATCTCAGTGGTTCTGCCGCCTGCCTTGCAAGCACAAGGGCCTGAGTTTGATCCCCGGTACTATATACTGTAAATGGCTCACCATCTCACAACATGGATAGCCAGGACTTTTGGTTGTAGGTGACAGAAACCCAACTCAAATTGGCCTCAGCATGGGGAGATTTACTGGTATACGGGGCTGGGTACTTCAGAGGTGAGTCCATCATTATAAACCCAATAAATAAATATATTTAGGTATATATATATATGGAATGAACCTAAGTGTTTATCAATCATGGACAAAGACCAGATACTCTATTCATGCAATAGGCTACTATTCGTCCATAAAAAACATTGATTCCTATCATATGCAACAACGTAGATCATTCCAAACAACACTGTTATAAGAAATAAATGCACAGAAAGCCAAATACCAAATCCACTCATGTATAGAATATACAGAAGTTTATCTCATAGGGGCAGGGTTTTAGCTCAGTGGTAGTGGTTCTGCCGCCTAATCTTGCAAGCACAAGGTCCCAAGTTCAATCCCTGGTACCAAAAAAAAAAAGTTTACCTCATGAAAGGTAAGTGTAGAATAGTGGTTACTAGAAACTGGAGAGACTAGAGAGGGAAGGGAGGTAATAAAAAGTCAATAGATACAATATTATAATTGGATAGAAGGAATAAATTCTGGTGTTCACTGGAAGGACAAGGTGAATATAATTAAAATATAATTAAGATACTGTAGAACTAAAATAGGTAGAAGAGAGGAGTTTGAATGTATTTACCATAAATAAACAAGAAAAATTTAAGGTAATGAGTATGTCAGTTACCCAGAGTTGACCAATACCTAATGTATTCATGAATCACAACATCATAATATACCTTATAAATGTAAACAAATAGGGCAATTTTAAAAATTAGTATCAAGAAAAGCGACAAAATATAACAATACTGGTAATGTTGTGGAAAAAATCCTTATAAACCACTGGTAGGAATTTGAATTATTAGTCATGAAAAACAGGATGCAGATTCCTCAAAAGGTCAAAAATACAATGACTTCATGACCTGGAAAGACAAGTTCCAGGTGTACACACCAAGTACACGCACTCTGTGAGCTGAAGAAATAGGTGGGCTTGTGTTTACTGCAGCACCGTCCTCAACAGTCAAGATACAGAATCAGTGCAAGTGTCCAGTGCTTTCATGAACCAAGAAAACATGTTGCACACGTACACTGGGGTACACGACTCAGGCATAAGTGAAAAGGTGAGTCCTGCCGTCCAGGACATCGTGGTGGGTGTGGGGGACTTTACATCAAGTGAAAGAAGCCAGGCACAGAAAGGCAAGTCCTGCATACTCTCAACTGTGACGAAATAAAAAGAGGCAATCTCATGGAAGTGGAGAACAGAGTAACGGCCACCACAGGCTGGACAGCGACGGGGAAGGAGGGACGAGGAATTGGTCAATGGAGGTGAAGCTAATTACGTTAAAAGCGTGTGCTCTGAAATTCTGTCGCTTCCAAATAGCTAAAAGAGGATTCTGAAGGTTTTCCCGCAAAGACCTGGTAAGCACTGAAGGGTGTTGATATGCTCACGGCCCTGACTTTCATTATTACTGGTGCACACATACATTAATCCACATTTTGCTCCATAAATTAAAACACTGGGCATATAAAAATTAAAAACATTTTTTAAAAAATTAAAAACCAATTGAATTTTCATATGTGGGTTCACTTCTGAGCTTTCCAACCTATTAAGTTGTTCCTTTATCCATTGCCTATATGACACTATTTTGATTACTACGTTTGTAATAGATTTTTGACATCAGATAGTATGAGACTTGAAGTATCATTCTTTACTTCGTGACTATTTTGGCTGTTCAGGATCTTCTCTAATTCCAATCAAATTTTAGGATGTTTGTCCATTTGTTTGAAAAATGACACTGAGGGGCTGGGGATTTAGCTCAGTGGTTCCACCACCTGCCATGCAAGCACAAGGTCCTGAGTTCCATCCTCAGTACAAAAAAAAGAAAAAGAAAGAAAAATGACATTAGATTTTTAACACAGATTGCATAAAATCAGTATATTGCTTTGGCTACTATGAATAATTTAATAATCCTTTTAATGAGCACAGGCTTTTCATTAATTTGTGTCTTCTTCAATTCATTTATTTCATTACTTTTTTGTAGTTTTCAGTCTATAACATTTACTGTCACTAAACTGTGCAAAGTACGATTTGATCATAGAGGATACCCAGCTAGCCACAAGAAAAAAGTGAAACCCACATTCTGGACTAGAGGAAGGAAGAAGAGTTTCCTCATAAGGATGCGATCCCTATTTTGGTACATGTTCCTTGTGCATTTGAAAAGAAAATGTATTCTGAAATTGTCTAGTGGTAGTCCTCTATCATTACTAATCACATTCATTTTATTAATAAAATACAAAGCTAACAAAGAAGAAGAAATCAATGTACTTAATAAAGAAAATGATCTTACGCTGCCTTTGGCGTCATTGTGCAAATATCTCCTAAGCAGTGGCAGGTGTCAGTATTGTCGTAAACTAATCCCACATTGAGACCCAGCAACTGCACAATAATGACAGCATATGACTCCAAGGACAAACCCACCGGATACTAAATATAAAGAAAATCAGAAAAAAGTTACCAGTTATAATCAGTTATAAAACAACACTGAGTGTAATGAAAAATCAGTGTTCTAATTACATACACGAATGTAACTGCAGTGCAGTGATACCGTTGGGTGATAGACTACGATACACGATGAGTCCATGCAGCAGTTCAGTTAACTCAAATATTATTACTTAAGGACAACTGAAAATATCTTAGCAGATCTTACCGTCTTAAACACCATATTTATATTGCTTCTCTGAATTATTTAAAACCAAATATTTTAATCTTTTAACAGTTAATTCTACATTCCTTCCATAGAGGCAGCCTCTCACAGAGCCAGACATCCTTGCTTCCTGGATGGATTCGACTCCATGTGTGGGCTGCATTTGTCTTGGTTCCAATTAGCAGAATGCAGCAGAAGTAACAAGTAATCCTTTAAGGTAGCTTATGAAGAGACCAGTTTCTTAGGTTCTCTGTCTTACAGTTTCTTGGTCGTTCTAGGGGAAACACCCGATATGCTGTAGGGTAGGCAATGGGAAAGACCCACACAGTGAGCTGGGAAACAAGATTTTCTGAGGTCAGTCAACAGTTGCATGACTGAGCACGAGGGAGATCACCCCTCCCTCCAACTGAACCCTTACTTACACCTTGGTGGCAGCCTTGTAAGGAACCCTAGTTCTCAATCACCCACAAAGCTTATACTATATTCCTGACCGACCCACAGTTCTCTGCCGTTTTTATTTGCTAAAAGTTAGTTTTCATTATACAGCAATAGATAACTAGTATACTCTCAAAATATATTATTGTTGTCCACCATATTATTTGCAAATTCTGTTTTCTCTTAACAGTTCTGCTAAGAAGATAGTGTTGTCATACAGGAAGAGAAAACAGCTACTATTCCCAAAGTCTAAATCATTTTGAGCTGTTACCCTGAAATGAAGTCAACAATGAAAATATCTGGGCTAACTCAGCCTCCATATGCCTCAATTATTTACAGCCATTAGTTTATATATTTAAGTGTTTAGCAAATATCAATCCCTGAACCATGTAACAAAATAATATGGACATCTGAACACTTCCATTATACTAAACAGCAACATCGCAGGAGAAAGTTGACCGATCTTATAGAGTAACTGAAACTGCTGGGAATATAAAAGAGAAGAAGCTAGTTTCTAAGGGACCATGAGTAAGAGAGAGATGGCAGTGATGCAGCGCCAGGTAGTGAGAGGCTCAGAAGAGGCAGGGCCACAGCTCATGGGAATGTGCGTAAAGTCTGATCCTCCACGTTCAACTGTAGCCACTGACAGGGAGGAAACCAGCACGGCCAACAGGAATAAATGAATGAATACGCTAGAGATATGTCGTCCAGCCTCCAAGGACAGTTAGCTGTTTCACTTCCTGGAAGACTGAATTCATGCAGTCCTTCCTTTCCCCAGCCCAGCTTCTGATCCAAAGCAGTTCTGAGGACATAAGTAAGCAGTGGAATATTACATTGTTTTTTTTTAACCAAACCTTCACAACTCCCATTTTCTCTACTATACAGAAGAACACAGAGATCTCTTTTTATTGGTACAGAATACCATCTAATTAACTAAAATCCCAAGGAATCTCAAGAAAAAAATGACTCATTAGATGAAAACAACCACTGTAAAAGACTAATTGTTGATTAGAACAAAATCTTATTTATAAAGATGCAATAAAAATAAATGTAAGATGTAATATCCATACACTGAGAACCATAAAATATTGACAGATGAAATTAAAGGAGACACAAATACATGGAAAATTATTTCATTGCCATGGATTGGAAGAGTCCACATTATAAAAATATCCACACTAACCAAAGTTATATGCAGATTCAATGCAATCATTATCAAACTTTCAATGGCATTCTTCACAGAAATAGGAAAAAAAGTCATAAAATTTGTACAGACTATCAAAAAAAGAAAAATATTAGCTAAAGACACTTTAGGTACAAAGAACAAAGCTGGACACTAAACTAAAACAGAAATGGGTTAAAGATCTAAATATTAAAACAAACACTAAACCAGGTGAAAGACAGGTTAGGTAGAATTCTTGAAGACATTGGTGTAGGCAAAGATTTTGTGAACAGAAAAACCTTGGTTACATGTGAACTAGAACAAACAAGTGGGATCTCTTCTTATTAAAAAGCTTCTGCACAGCAAGAGAAACAACCAACAGTGTGAAGAGACAACACACAATGTGGGAAAAAAGTTTTCACCAGCTGTTCCTCAGACAAAGGTCTACTATCTAGAATAAAGAGAGAGAGAGAACTTAAAAAATCAGACCTCCCAAATTTAAAGACCTAATCCAAAAATGGGCATCTGAAATGAACAGACATTTCTCAGACAAAGAACTAGAAATAGCAAATAAACATATGAAAGAATGTTCAACATCACTGGTCATTCGAGAGATGCCGATTCCACCTCACCCCACAAAGAATGGCTGCTATCGTGAAATCAACCAATAACAAATGCTGGCAGGGCTGGGGGGAAAGAGGAACTCTGCTCCACTGCTGGTGGGAGTGCTGACTGGCGCATCCACCATGGGAAGCAGTAAGGAGGTGCCTCAGAAAACTAGGATTGGAAGTCTCACTTGACCCAGCTATTGCCCCATTGAGTATCTCCCCCAAATAATTAAAAGAATCAGACCACAGTGATATACGTGCACCAGTGTTCATAGCAGCACAGTTTGTAATAGCTAAAACTTGGAAGCAGCCCAATTGCCCATCAACTGGAGACTGGATAAAGAAAATGTGGGGATTTTTTACAAAATGAAGTAGTACTCAGACATAAAAAAATGAAAAATTAGAGACATAACTAAATGGATACATATTGAAGTGATACTCTTAAGTGAAATAAATAGGACACACGTGTAAATACTGAATAGTTTCTCTAGTGTGAGAAGCTGAAAGTATAAATAAGGACTAAAAGGTATGACATATAACATGAAAGAGGAAGAAAAGGGGCAAAGGGGAAGATGAAATGGGAGGGGTAGGGGAAAGGAAGGAAGGGAATGGAATTAATATGAAAAAATGGAAACAAAGTCTTTGTAGATAAGGGAGGGAGGGAGGGGTTGAAGGGGATGAGGAAAAAAATAAGAACCAAGATTGATTATGTAAAGATGCAAATTTCCAATAATGAATGTCATTATATTGTATACCTTAAATGTACCAATAAAATTAATTTTAAAATAGAACAAAGCTGGAGGTATTTCAAATTATATTACAAAGCTGTGATATTCAAAACTTCATAACATTTACATAAACATATAGGCCAATAGAACAGAATAGAAAGCCCTCAAATTAAACCATGCATATGGACAACTGATTTTTTAGAAGACCAGTAAAAACACCAATGAGGAAACGACATTCTCTACTATAAATGGTACTGGGGAATAGGGGACATTTACATGTAAATAAATAAGTAAAATTAGATCATTATCTTATACTATATAGAAAAATCCATTCAAAGACTTAACCATAAGACCTGAAAAAAAATAAAAACCCCTGGAAGAAACCTGCGAAAAGACTTCTCAGCATTGGCCAAGGCAATGGTTTCTTGAATGTAATCACTAAATGCCACATACAGAATGAAAAAAGACATGTGGAACAGTATCAGACCATAAAGTTTCTTCCCAGGAACTGGAATAACAAACAATTAAAATGGTAGCCTATGGAATGGTTGAAAACTACATATATAAATATATATATGCAAATGCAGGTATAGCTGTATATAGATCTAGACAGACACAGACACAAATATAGCATTAATATCCAAAATGTATAACAAATTCTTGCAATTCAACAAAAAATATAAATTAATAGATAACTCAATTTTAAAATGTACAGAGCCCCGAAGAAAAACATTTCTTCAAAGAAGGCCTACAAGTGACCCACACTGTAAGGGCTCAGTGGCGCTAGTCCTCAGGGAAGTAAATGTGAACTGAAACCATAGCGATTTGTCACTTCACACTTGTCAGAACTACTGCTTTTAAAAAGATTAAAAATGTGTTCGTGGGGGGAAAAAAGGGTCCCCCTGCTGATGAGAACTTCAACTGGGGCAGCTATTATGGGAAACAATAAGGAGAGCATGAAAAATTAAACTCAAATTGTTATATGATCAAGGAATCCCACCTCTGGCTATCTACACACAGGAACGGAAACCAGAATAGTGAAGAAATACTGCATTGTTGAGCTCTGGCCTTTTGAGAAATCCAAATTAAAACAACAATGAGATTTCATCTTACTCCACGAAGAACGGCTATCATCAAGAAATCAAATAATGAAAAATGTTGGTGAGGCTACAGGAAAAAAGGAACCCTTTACAGTGCTGGTGGAATGTAAGCTAGTACAACTACTGTGAATATCAGTGTGGATATTCCTAAAAAAATCTAAAAGTAAAAAACCCATTCAATACAGCTATTTCTCTCTGAAACATCTCCCTGAAATAGTTAAAGTAATCACATTATAGTGAAACCTGCATAGCCATGTTTATGGCAATACAGCTCATACTAGCTACATGTCGGAATTGTCTTTTATGTCCATCATCAGCTGAATGAATAAAGAAAACGTGTTACTTACACTCAGCAGAGTTCTATTCAGCCATCATTAAGGGTAAATTGGAGTCATCCTGAAGGAAAATGGATGCACCTTGAGACCACAGTGTCAAGTCACATAAATGAGATGTGCAAGCCCGAGTATCACAGTTTCTCATTTATGGAAAACCCAAAGTGTAAATCATTTGAAGAGCAAAATAACGAATAGATAACAGGAAATGGGAGACAGAGGCTTCACAAATTGGAAGGGGACCTAGTGATGAAGGGCAAAAAAGAGAGGGAAAGGCAAGCAGAAGTAAAAAGTGCTAAGATGTATTTTGTGTGTGTGCTCAACTTCCCACAATGAATGTAACATTATGTACTGCAAACGTGGACTAAGAGACGTAGAAAATAACATAAATAGGCAAACGGAGTACACACTTTTG